CAAACAAAAGCTGAGAAAAGCCGTTGTGTCGACTCATTTGCTTTCTAATTTAAACAATAAAAGTGAGATTTGAACGATAAAGTTCTGGGATTTGTTTTGGTTTGGTCTCATTTTAAAAAGGTTACCCTTGCCATCAAATGTCTTGTTGACACCATGTTAATGTCTCTTCATGTCCCAGTTAAATGCAACAAGAGTTTAGAGTAACAAATATTAACAAAAATCGATAAGAGATTTAATGAAAGTTAATTTTTCATCCAATTGAGATTTTATTTAAGATTTAATGGAAGTTAATTTTTTATTCAATTGAAATCTTATTTGAGAACTTCACCTGATTTGAGACTTAATTAAACACAATTAAAATTTAGATTTAAAATTACAAATTTTATATAAGTTCAATTCTTTATACCATACTTTTGTCTTTTTTAATTTATAATGTAGGAGTAGTGTACTAGTACAAGTATTAAGAGTCCTCTGTGTTTATGAAATATTAATTTGTTTTTCTTATTTTAGGAGTAATTCTGTAATTACCTCATCAACAATGTATTTTCTTTAGAGAATAAAACTTTAAAAATAAATAAATTATAATAGTAATAATTATTTCTTAATTATTAATGAAAATTACTATTAAAAAAATACATATATCTTGAGACAAACACAAACGAGTGATCGTGGGCTGATTATAGACGGAACATAGGGTCAAGGACTCAAGTGAGAGACAACAAAAAAATGTAATAGCAATAAGGAAAAAAAGAAAAATAAAACGTCTTAATATTAAAAATATCAAGATATCTAATAATAATTACATAATAAATTTAATAAAATTATGTTTCACATTATATTTTACATATTTCGTAATTATAATTAAATATATTGATATTTTTAATATTAAAAAGTTTTAATTTTTCCTTTTCTCTAGTAGTAATTAATAATAGTATATTTCCCCCTTATTAACGCGAAAGAAAGGGATGCAGTGCCAGTGCAGCCTTCTCATTTTCTTTCGGCTGGCTTGTTTGTTTATAATACTAGTAAACGGTAAAAAGCTTAAAAAAGCTGAAGATACGATCATGCCTGTCTGTTTCAACTTAATTTCCACTCCACCAATCTCCATTTCTCCAAACAATACATACATGTCCCCCGCCCCAAAATAATACTACGGAAATTCTTAATTATGCAGGTACGTACTGGCCAGAAGCAAGTTAATTAAGTTTAGATCATCTTGATGCAGAAAACCTTCAAGTCCTTCTTTGGTTAGATCTTCTTGTTGAATAAATTTGTAAAGCCTTGAAGGTAAACACTTCAATATTTAAGTCAGCAATAGTTTACAGTTATGGCTCATTACAGAGTATATGGACTATGGAGTATAATAAAGAGAGAAATGTTAAAGGAAAAGTCTCATAACTTTGAAGGTTATGGGGGCATTTATGAAACCCTTAGAAGTGCCTAACACATGTTGCACTTTTGTTGGTCCATTTGGATCTATTTGAATGTATGTGAGTTTCATAATAAGTCATGCATGTGCTCTCCTTTATATTTAAGCCTCATGGATCTTCATTATCTTTATGAACTAATTAGATTA